GTTCTGATGGGCAACAAGTACCTCAGTCCCCACAAGCCGATGAGACCAGCCCGTGCTCAGGGGCCCAGGATGCGAGATGCAGCTGCAACACACGACAACTGATCACTTTTTCCGCCAGAGGGCGAGAGTTGAACACAGACACCACCAATCGCGTCGATTGCACGGGCCAAATTGGAGAACACTAGTTGTACCTAACTCGCTCGCCATGCATGAGACGGGGTGACACGTGCCCCTCATGATGAAGGCCGACGATCACTACGAGCAGGATGAGGAGAAGCGCGACTTTTCTCCCTGAAACTACGCATCGCTTGGATCTGGAGAATTGGCCCCTAGCTTTATCAAGCCCCTATCCTGTGTTTCTGAAAATCGTGGTCCCAAACTAGTCTAAACGGTTGGTTGTTTGTTGGTCTCCCTTTGAATAATTACCAACCAACAGCGTCGATTCACCATTTAAAGGAACACCCATATGCCATGGTATTGACTCCTGTGTGTGAATTTGGCTTAAGTGAGGAAACGGGCAACCTGTGAATGGCAAGGTTTGCCCGAGCCAACCAGAGGAAAGGTTACCCCAAAAGAGAAAGAGCGCACCGAGCCAACCTTGTCCCTTTCTAGGCGGCTGTTCTCCAGCACCTCCCCCCCCCCAGTACAGCTGTTTGGACAGCACCAAGGGGATTTCTCAAGCGCGTGCCAAAGAAAAAGCCGACGCAAGTTGGGTGCTGGAGATTGTCCTAGCCACGTTGGACACCCTTCGGGGGAAATGGCCCTTCAGCAAAATGTGGTTCAAACCGGGACCTGTTTGGGCTCCATATTTCTTGCAAACCCTTCGGTTCCATGGGTAGTTTTTTTTGTTATTTCACAAGTTCATGGGACCTGTTGGAGTCTCTTGTTTGGGAATCGGAGCCCCAAGTTGGTGGTGCTTCTTTTGATGTTCCTTCAAAACCCTCCCAAAAATAGGGGAAACCCTGGACCTTGCCAACAAAAATAAAAATAAATCGCCGAGCCGGCCATCGTATCCCATTTGGACCACGCCGAGCCCGGCGCGCGCAACAGTTCGCTGCGGGGCGTCGGGTCGAATGTCGGGACGCCAGGAGCGGCAGAGCGAGCGGCGCCTGGCGCGGGTCTGGGCGTGCGCCTCGCTGGTGGTGGGCTCTTTGCTGGTCTTGGCGTCAATGATCGGCTCCCAGCGCTTTGGATGCAACTTTCGGCTCAGCTTTTCGGGGGGATTTTTCGGCCAAGATTTGCGGAGGGTCCCCCAGCTGGGTGCCGTTTCTTTTACCGTTTCATACTTTTTGGGGGGGAGGGTTCCCCTACTACAATAAACTACAGAAAAAAGTTGGTAGCAACTTATTCTAACCTCCATACAGTAGAGGACCTAGCTTGTGTGTGTGTGTGTTTTTAATGCTGTAGGCTCAAATATGGTTTCAAAACCAAAATCGTTGATTGATTGATTGATCTTATTTTTGGGGTATTGAATTGGAACAGGTTCAGAACATGGTTATAGTTTAATGCTACGATGCGTAATGTACCCTTTCATACAGAACATGGTACCCCAGATGTGGGCCAATAGTTTACTCCTGTAGCAAGCGTTCATGTTAAGTAACCCATCGCCCCATTCTAATCACCCAAGGGCCCTATGACTTCTCCGGAGCCATCCGGGGTGTCATACCCCATGGTGGGGGTTCGATTCCGCGTGGGTAAGCACAGTCTGGTCATGTTTGTTTACCCTGTTGGAGGACACAAGAAACGAGGGACAAGGGTAAGCATCGATCAAAACACACACCAAAAAAAACAAAACGACAAAGGTTCAAGACGTATCACAGCATTGAGGATGTTTCCACAACTGATGCAATTCTTTGTTGCGAGAAGTCTCCAAACCGCCAATTAGGAGCGAGCTGACGTTTGGGACAATGGCATCAACCCAATGATGGACACAACCAAAAAGGATGGGGTCAAACCAAAAAAGGATGGCATCAACCCCAAAACAGATGGCATCGGCATCACCCCACAAGAGGACCTAACATGTTCGTGCTGTTTTGGGGGGGGGAGGGCCGTTCGGGTTTCCGGGTGAGTTTGAAGTCTAGGTGAGAGGCCATTTTTACTCTTTCTTTTTTAAGGCACCTGGAGATTGTTTTCCCTTTTTTTGGGGGGGGTACTTTTTCCTCAAGGGGAGCCTTTTTCGAGGGAAGCTGGCCAAAGCTTGCCGGTGCTCAGCAGGGAATGAGAAATGGACCCCCACGACCCATCCAACTGGTGGTTTCCCTTGTTTCGACAATCCCAAGACGGTTCATTCCAATTCTCATTCCCTGCTGATTTCGCACCATCCAACTTGTGGTTTCCTTAGAGGGAATCTCCCCTGTGGTTTCCTTCTTCCGGGAATTCCCGGACACCAGCCGCCAGAAAGGTCCGAGGCCATTCTGCTGATGGACCGCGTGGTGCGCCTGGACACCGCGGGGCCCTACGGCGGAGACCTGGACGGCGCCTCGCGGGTGCTCACCACGCTGCGCCTCGGATCTCGGAGACGACGGGACGGCGGGAGACGCTGAGCTTGGGGTAGCCACCTGAGCCACAAGTGAAACCCGGGTGTAGCTTTTTTCCTTGGCTTTGGGGGATTTGGGTTTAGATTCCAGGCAGGTTGCAGGTTGCCCAGATGTACAAGTTTAGATATTCCTCAGTTGTGTCACAATCAAAACCGATTCGGGTAAGAGTCGGGCAAGTGAAGGTTAGTAAGGGACAATCCCCTTGCCAGAAATCGCTGCGGAGATCCGCCTTCTTAATTTTCTTACATGGTTCTGGGTCGGCCATTTTACTACCGGGCTTTGATTATGACTCACCTGCAAAGCCCTAGAACCAAAGAAAGAAAAAAAGAAAGAAAGAAAGAAACAAAGAAAGAAAGAAGCAAGGAATGAGAAAAACACTCAAGCAAACAGACACAAAAAGAAACAACCTGGTTCGCCGTTGTGCATGTTTTTTTCGATCACTGTCAAAGAGTGGCTCAAAAATCAGTCACCGGTGCATAGTGTCGGAAATAGTAGTCACTTCATATGTAGTTACCACAATGAATGTCACAGTGACTGAAATGCATGGTTTAGCACCATATGGATCGCCCGTTGCTGTTTTCTTCCATGCACTTTACCCCCCAAAACACAGCAACAGTGACTGGAAAAAAGGCTGGTCCCCCTGCACACACTTTTTGGCATCGGCTCGCCATGATGGATCTCTGGATCCATGCCGGTGCCTGTCGGCGGAGAGGACTGAAGCATATGCTCATGTGCCAAACATGCACGCATATACATATGCACACATATATACAGTTGTCTCGTAAGAATGCATGCGATATCGTGAGTAGGATGGATCATGATGGATCACTCACGTAGGGTTTCTCCCCCCCACCTTCCCCCTCCATTTTTCAGGATTCCGGAAGTCCGCGGGCGTGAACATCGGGTGATGCAAAGGCAAGGGGGTGGCGGCCGGATTGATTTGAGTGCATGAACGTACGACTGTACTTCACCCAACAGTCTCAATAGTGAGTTAAATGGTCGGGCCACCATCACACGGCATTTGTGTCAACTTTGCATGCGTGATGTGATTCGCAGGCTCAACATCAATTGTCTCCTCCGGCCACTGTGATGATCAAACATATGTGCATGGCCCATTGTTTCCGCCCATGATGAAAGCAAGTGTGACGGTGTATGCACGTGAGAGTGGGGACGTATAATCAAGTTCATGTGCTTGTTAAAACCCTATACAGCCGTACTGTGGGCATGGGTCGCCGACTTCACACAACATCATGCATGGTAAGGACGCATATACACGTACTGTAAACTGAACACCCTCACGCTCACTTCGCGGGGCTCCATGGGTATACTTCATGCTACTGCGCCGTACTTCACACAACTGCACGCCCCTCATGAATTCAGGATGAATTAGGATGGGTCCAGGATCGAGCATGCTGTTGCAACAGTTCCTTGTGAAACTTATCAGGGGCATGATATAGCCGAGCATGACCTCAGGCCTCAGCATGTCCAATAGCAAAAACTATTGTACGTTTGTGTGATGCAGCAGTTCTCTCCTGTATGCATGCGGGTGTGCGTCCACTAGAGCCACTGATGTCCGTAAGTACGCAGATCCAATCAAACTCACATTCTGGAGGCGTCATGCAGTACGTTTTTTATTGATTAAGCATGCATGTGCATTCAGTCTCACGGCAATGTTCATGCTCGATCGTGTGCAATCTTATTCCTCCAATTGTTTTCCTTGGGGAGCGAACCTATAGTGGATATATGGATGTTTCGACCAGGGCGAGGCATTTGGCTTGTACGGCGTTGCTTGGCTAGTGGCTCATGGCTCGGCTTGAGACGGACAAGGCGCTGGTGGACTCGTGGGAGGCCAGCTCGACGATCAGGCGCAGATTCAAGGGGGACAAAGCGTGGCTCTTGCTTCCACCTAGCAAAGATCCTGAACAAGATGAAATGGAGAGGCCGATGAGCACGCGCTCTTTGGCCTTCAACAGCTCTGCAGTTGCAGCTTTGATTCGGCGCTTTGCGCCGCGCAAGCTCAAGGTGCGGATGCTTTTGGGCCCGATCAAGGGCCTTTATCAGGTGATGGGGGCCCAGGCGGACCGCCGTCAGACGTACGTGGATGCGTGGGTGCTACGTAGGCTCTACACCTATGCCCGCAGGAGGCAGCAAGATGCGGCTAAGAGGAACCAAACGCCACGCGAACCATGCCTGCACACCTTCAGTAAAAAAGTACGTACGTTGACCTATTACAATATTTATGTATATAAACATGTAATTGCGATTCGATCGATGGCATGCGATCGCTTTCGGACATTTGAGGATGAAGCGGTGCGCGAGATCTTTCAGCTGCTGCGGGACTTTGGTCATGGACCCTTGCGAGAAGATGAGTGCGATGAGGGGGACACGGACGAGGATGGCGAGTCCGGCGAGTCTGAGTCGGAAGAGAAAGACCCAGAGGTTGTGGATTCTCACGAGGAGGGCTCTATGGAGAACGTGCGCTTCATGGGCGCTGAGCTGAAGGACTGTATGCATGGAATCAAATTCGGAGATGTGTAGGGATGGGGAAAACTCATCGTACTGTTCTGGTACATTTGGAACGCTGGAGGAGCTCTGAGGCAGACTTGAGACGCCTAGGAGCGCTTGCGCTGGCGGAGGACGCGAAGAAGCAGGCGGAGGCCAACGAAGGTGCCCCGCAACAATCCGAAGAGGAGCAGCTCCAAGCTGAACTGGATCGCCTGCTGGTGGAACTTCAAATGGCCGAGAGGCCCATGCCCCAAGCATGTACGGACCTGATTGCCTCGTATACCTCATTATAGTCTATTGATCGAGCTAAAGTAAAAATTAAAGATCGATCTGTATATATACTGCATGCGCATTTTTCGTTTTTTAAATTCACCATGTTGGCTGAATGTGTTATTTGACTTGGTTGGGCGCCCCTGGTCTCCATAGCTTCGCCCCCTTGAAGGCAGATTGGTGCATCAGATGGAGTGGCTGGTGCTCATGCTGCCAGTGGTGCTGGCGAGGAGCCGCGCAGCAAGCCGGCTGAAGGCCGTATGTTGGGGCGCTAAGCTGATTTCGATTGTTTAAATCTATACAAGCCAGCAGTAGTGGAAGCTTTTTTACACTCCTGTAGTGTGTGGAGTTGACCCCTATTGATGGCCGGGTTCCCATGTACAAGATGCACACACACACACACACGCATGCATGCATGTTTGGGAACAACCTTTAGACAAAATCATTTGCGTCAGATGGCTTGTTGCCTGCTAGGCCATGCATTGCCTCCAGATCTAGCTCCAATCAATCCGGACCAGGCTTGAGTGGGGACCAGCGCACAAGAAAAAAACCACGAAATCTATGGCTGCACCATGCAATCACCCGTTTTACTGATCGATCGCTGTTGTGGTTTGATTTTAACTCTCCCCAGCTGCCGGCCTCGTCCCCTGCCAGGTGGAGACGCAGGCCTACGTCGTGACGGCAGATGGCAGCGCTGCGAGAACCCCGTCCCCAGCCCAGAAGCCGGAGCTTGTGGAGACACCGGAGAAGGCTAGGTTCCCAGAAGAAAGGCTCCGTGCATGGATCGTTTAAGTCATCTTAAAAAGATCGTTGATCAACGTTAATGCATCCCATACTGATCTAGAGCTGTGTTTCGTTGCCACGTTGTGCCCAAACAAGCCCATTGTTTGGGAAAAGTATCACCGCATGGCCACCGTCCCCAACTCCAATCCCCGGTATCTCACACCCCCGCTTGAAACGTATCGTACTATATAAATTATATTGCGAATACAATGCGATTGCTTCATAGTACGCATATTTGGTGTCGTGCAAGGATGGCGCGCAATTGCACTATAAGTATACGCGTATGTCCATGGGCCCCCGAATCAGGGATCCCGAGTCATTTGTCTATATAGCCGGAAAGTGATTTTGGCAAACCCTGCAAGGTGGACATGCCCAATTGGTCTGTGAGCCCTGCGGAGCAGTCCAATCTGCGCACCACGTTGGCCAAGGGCCTCACAAGAGGCCGCAAAAAGCGTGCCAAAAAGCCGGCCGAGCCCGCATCGGCCAAGCCACCCAAGCCGGCCAAGGTGGTTGAAAGCGAGGAGCCACCAGCCACAATCAGGAAGCGCAGGGCTTCCGTGCCATCCGACCCACCTGCGGAGGTACCAGCCAAAAGCAGGAAGCCCAGGGCTTCTGCGCCATCCGACCCACCTGCGGAGGAGCCACCAGCCAAAGGCAGGAAGCCCAGCGCTTCTGCGCCATCCGACCCACCTGCGGAGGAGCCACCAGCCAAAGGCAGGAAGCGAAGGGCTTCTGCGCCATCCGACCCACCTGCGGAGGAGCCACCAGCCAAAGGCAGGAAGCGAAGGGCTTCTGCGCCATCCGACCCATGTGCGGAGGAGCCACCAGCCAAAGGCAGGAAGCGAAGGGCTTCTGCGCCATCCGACCCACCTCCAGAACCCCAGCCATCTGTGCCAGCTGATGTGCCTGCTGACCCCACCACGGCCAAGAAAGCCAAGAAAAAGGCATCCAAAGCCAAGCAGACGCCTATGCCATCCGATCCGCTTCCAGAACCCACCGAAGTGAAGGACAACGCCGGGACTGTCACTACTTGGAGCGGCTGGTCGCGGTTTGAAAAGCCCTTCCCCAAACCCAATGTGTGCCAGCAGGATGTGGGCAAGGAGTCGGAGAAGATGTCGCAGGATATGCCCGGCAAGCGTCAGGACAAGGCAGAGCCGCACTTCGGATGCCCCGTCAGCTTCTACAGCCAGCAAGGGCACCAAGGGCAAGCAGAAGAAGCCACGCGCCTACCGAAGGATCGCGCCGAACACACGCCCAGGATGCCGGCATTGCCACAACTCCGAGACCGGCTGCGATCTATGCAAGGACTTGATCTTGGGATGTGCCTCGTGCCGTGGGTGCAGCACGGGCTGCGGGCACTGTCGGCAGCCGGAGTTCAAGGGTCAACGTGGAAAGCAAGCCTCTT